CGCCGCAGCGGAGCGCGCGCACTTAACCGCTTGCGCCACCGGGCCGGCCCCCTTGATGGAATTTAACACATGGCAAAATAGAAGCTCAGGTGGAGCTTGAAATTATGATAGAGAATCATCCTGAGACTTACTAAGTATTGTTATTTCTTCTATCTCATTGAACAGGTACAACTAATACCACTTTAACTCCAACTTCACCACCTGCGCGGAAGTCGACCTTTGATGCAGCCAGTTTCATCGGAGGAATTGTCCTTGTCTTGGGTGTGCAGGCTGTAATTTTCTTTCTCTATAAATTCTGCAAGTCTAAAGAACGAAACTACCACACTCTGTAAACAGACCCATTAAATTAACAAGGACTGGCGTGTAACTCACTGAAACCAAAATACTATCTTGCAAGATGTCCCACATGGAAGACACTATTCCAAGAGCTTTAAATTTGCAGAGGATGCATATAGGATATTTTGGAGCATCATCCTTGAAGAAAATTAGCTAAATCATTTTGCTCAACGAGAATATTTAAAATATTCTGCATGAATCCTTGTGGCTGTCTTTTATTTTAAATGGCTGCTGCTGTGGGATTATGTTCTCTCTTCTTGACATGCCAAATGTAACTCTGTAAGTGATGGAAAACATTGTCCTGCGAGACAACCTCATGACTCTTTTGGCGGTTTAAATTTAGTCATTTTAAAGCCTGAAAGCTGCATTATTTTCATCCTAACTCAGGATGTAGTTTAGTGACCAGAATTGAGAAGAATGTGCCAAATGAGAATCAGGTGGATTTTTGGCTATCGTTTCAAAAGTGGAATAAATTTATAAATTTAGTATTCTTAGAGTAAACTGTATCCTTAGAGTTAAATTTTGTGCTTGATAGCAGTTATTTTTTCTACATTAGAAATAAGATGCCACACAAGGAATTACATTCCAGATTTAAAGAAATGAATGGAAAGGATACAAACCATTGAAGTACAGCAGATTGTTCATACTTGTGAAGCACCTTATATCATTGAGAAAATAAAGAACAGTGCCTTAAAAGACAGACTGAAAGGTAGACTGTAACTTACAATGTTTGCGATTTGTTCTTTGCCATTAAGGAAGGTAAAGAATGGTCTGAGGATGTAACTACTGGTGTGAGCAGTAGTGAACCTGCTTTTAGATACCGTACTGTTAGTATTTCATTGAAAACTCACCTGCTTCACACCTGAGTGACTTAAGCTAAAGGATGTTACACAAAGGTGAAAGCCTTCACATATGGAACCTCCCAATATTTTTCTTAGGGCTGTTAAAAAGTGTAGAGATAAAATTGATTTAATTTTATTTTCCTTTGTACTTCAAAAAAGTATTGTAACACTGTTGTATCTTGGAAGGGTTTCCACCAAGCTTTCTTAAAAAGTAGCTATGTTCATGAGGCAAGAAGCAAATAAGTTGTTTTAGAATCATTTACTAACTTTCAATGAGACAATCATTTTAAGTTCTGAGACAGCAAATGTGAGCACTGTAATTTCTGAAAATCCAAGGATTTTGGTTGATGAGATTACTGTAGATTTTTAATGATGATTGCCCTAGAAAAACGGATTGTGCTTTCTCTCCTTTCTTTCTCCTCTCTCCCATCCTTTCTTCTTAGTTTCGCTTCCCGTAGTGTAATAAGCATGCATACTTTTATTCTTTAGTTTTCTTACAAAGCACTAGATTTGGGGGTTTAGAGGGATACTTCACCCCTGCCTTTGACACATTGGGTTAGTTCAGAGGCTTAAGTTAGTTTAAAATGAGCTTTTGCTTTTTTAGATTATTAAAGTTTTTTTGTTTTAGTTTCTTTAGCCTCTAGTGGCTGAATTTAGCACTTGGTTTTCAATATTTTATAGTAGAAAATGACATGTTGCTTTGGTCCATTTCATGAGCCAAAATTCCTTGCATTTAGATAAGTATATTAAAGGTTCTTAAAGAGAAGATTTACTGTTTCTTTGTTACTTGCTGGTACAGCTAAAGTTTGTTTTGCTTGCACATTTGTACATACACCTAATGTTTTCAAGTGCCTTAATTGTTTAAAATCTCTGGCTTCAAAAGTTTTTGGGAAAAGGTAGGTTTGCCTCACATTTTTGTGTTTTCATTAGTAATATTCTAGGTACCTCACAAAAAATTTTATTATGGTGCCATGGCTGTTAGCTTTTAGTGAGTGCTGCAAGATAGCAGATTCATTTGAAAATACACACCATTTCCATTCCTCCCAAAGTGGCAAAAATTAGCTACAATGGCATAATTGTCATTTACCTAGATATGACCAGCTTGGCACACATTAATGTCAACACATTTAACAGTTTTTGTGAAAATGTAGCCAATGAAGCTTCTCATCTTCTGTAGTTTTGAATATTGCTCTAACAACAGAATCATCATATGGAGTTCGTTCGGTTTTGCAAGAACTCTTACAGAACTCACAGCCTTTTCCCCCCTTCCTTTAGCAATGTAGTATCTTGAGTCATTGATAATTTTTGGGTTTTTTTAATCCAGAAGGTATATAGAAACCTTTTCAGATTTTTCATCTGATTTGTTCACGCAGATGTAGGTCTTATCAAAATACCTTATTTTACCTTACAGATATTTGTTGCACAGGCAGACACTGCTGTATTTAGAAATTTCTATTTCGGTTCGTTAAAAACTGCAAGACCAATCTGTATTGTGTACCAAACTGATTTAAAATAAATCTATGTGTTTATTGAATTAATCTGCTCTTTTTTATTAACTGAAATGTGTTTTTTGCATTTTGATTATAAAATTTAACGCTAGTGGATTTACCTTATCAGTCTGTTTGGGGATGAGTTGTGTTACTCAATTTTTATTGCAGATAATAACTAAGGGATGTATTCATCATTGGAGGACAGAGCCTTACAAATAAGCGTTGGAGGGAGGACTTGGTATGCCTATGGGAGTGACATGCAAGGTGATCTTCCACAAATCAATAGAAATCATCTACTTATGCTCTAGTTTACCAAGTAAAGAATTTATGAGAATACCATCTGTTATATATCTGAAAGCTTGTTTGTGACTTTCTGCCTTTTTAGTTCAGATGGCACGTAAAAGTAAAATTGGGCTTCTGTTTAGAGTACTTGGTATAAATATCTAGTACCAAGCCACATGCTGGTATGTGAAATCTTCTGTTGGTCCATGTTTGGGGAAAAATTATATTCCATATTAAATCACAGCACTTGGACTAAGAAGAGAGAATGAATACTCCCCTATGAGCCTTAAAACCCAGAAGGGAGGACTTAATAATTTTGCCATAGAAATCATGAACTTTTGGTTTCATATTAGCCTTACGTATGGTCAGGTATTATATAAAACTCTGTGCCAAGCTTGAAGACTCCCTAAAACATTGCTAGAAACAAATTGTTATTTTGATAAGAATGGGGTCCAAAATAGATTTTTTAGATGATAAAAAGTCCTGTATATTCACCCATGTAGTTATTTCCTCTATTCTCCATCACCTTGTGTAGATATCTGTTGCTACTGGTATTGACCTCTGCCTAAAGGATGTCCTTTATTAAATGTTGTGTTAAGCAGTGCATGACTGTATAGGAAGTGGCCACTATCTGCTTTCCCTCAAGCTGGATTCCAGAAATCATTAGAGAGGATACAACCCAGGCTCTCTGGATAAAGTTTGTAGTAGCTGTGAGTCTGAGGTGGTGCCAGGGAAGCTATCCAGGGGGAGATGTTACACCAATGGCAATCCGTGAAGTCATCCAAGGAGGGGCAGGATAAGCCATGCATAGGAGGTGCCACACCAGTGACACTCCACTGCTAGGCTGTGTGTACTGCTAGAGCTGGGGGCTGTGGGAGTTTGTCCAGAACTAGGAAAAGAAATCCTTCCGATATCTACTGACAAAACATCATGCCACCTAGCAAAGAAGTCTTCATATGGTCCAGCTTCACTTTATAATAATGGATGGAGCAGGCAACAGTGGATGAATTTGAAGCTTAAAGCCCTAGTTTCTGTGAATTTATGACTTTCTACTACTTATTTAGTATTTCTTTTGCCCTTGGTCAGAACCTCAATTGGTCAGGGTGCTTTACCTGGTGGGGTGATCCAAATAATCATTACCAAAGGGCCTGAGTCCTCCAATTGTCCTACCTGTTTTGTTGCCATAGTTTTTCATTAACGTTTACTATTGGGTGTGGAAGTACTCAGGCACCCAGAGAATCCCCTGTGTTTCAGATAGGGTCCTTGCCGCCTCTGAACCAGCAATACAATCTCCCCTTGGTAATCAGGATCGATCACTCCAGCCAGTAGGGGAACATCTTTTGCTGCCTATCGGTTTAGTGACATAAGAATCCCAAGATGGCCCCGTGGCAGTCTCATCTTAGATTTTATATCAGTAGACCCATTGTTGTTTTCCTGGTTGAAGCACCCCTTGAGAACCAAGACCTCCAAACCAGCACAGCTTGAGGTTGAGGTGATGAGAAGTATGAGAGGAACCGCTCCCACTACCATTCTGTGATTTGTAGACTCATACACTCTGGCTCAAAGCTTGTGCTGCCTGCAGTAAGACTGAACTCCATCCTTTCAGGGTGATGTCTCCCAACTGTCATTATAACTGAGCATTCAGTGAACTATTCCACCTTTCAATTAGACCAGCCACTTCTGCATATTCGGGTATGTTAATTTCATGGGCATGAGCTCACTGCACCATTTCCTTTATTGTGAAATTGATTCCTTGATTAGAAGAAATGCTATAGGAAATGCCATGATGGTGGATAAGGCATTCTGTGATTACATGGATCAGGTGGTAGTGCTGGCAGAAGCATTATGGACAGGAAGGCAATCCATATCCAGAATGTGTGTCTATTCTAGAGAAAGTTGAATCTCTCCCCTCCTCTATGATGGAAGAGGTCCAATGTAACCAAACGGCCACCTGGTGGATGGCTATTGCCCATGGGATTGGTGCCATATTGCAGCCTCAGTATTGGTCTTGGTGTTTGACAGATTAGACACTTGTCAGTAGTGCATGTCAGCCTTGGGAAGGGAAAGTCCATGTTGTTGAGCCCAAGCATATCCTCTAGCTCTGCCCCCATGGCCACATTGTTCATGGGTCCATTGAACAAGCACTGGGGTAGCTGGGGAATGAGACTGACTGACACCCATAGAGTGTGTTATTTTGTCCACTAGATTATCAGAGCCTCCTCTACTGTGGATGCCCTTTGGTGGGCACTGACACGGGACACAAATATCTTCACACTGTGTGCCCACTCTGAGACCCACCTTTCACTCCTGTTTCTTCCAACTCCCTGACTATCCAGCCAAACCATTAGCAACAGCTCATAAATTAGAGTAGATCTGTACTTCTGGCCATCTCTCAGTTCAGACACAGTGGACAACTAAATGTATTACTCGAAGTTCTGCTCGCAGGGAGGATTTTCTTTTAGTACTACCTTCAGGGCCACCCGAGTAGGGCATAGTGCTGCAGCTGTCCACTTTTGAGTGGAATCAACATATCATGCAGACCTATCTATAAACCAGGCTTGATTTTTTTACTTTCTTGGCCAACTACTTGCGAGAAACACCCCAGGCTAGAGGTATGGATTGAGGAAGTGGAGGCAACAGGAGTTGGTGTTGAAAGAGTCTGAGCCACATGTTCAGGGAAGCTACTTGTACCCAGGCAAGCTAAGTCTATTGTATACCATTTCCACTGATGATAGATTGCTGCTGTGTATGCCCAAGTTTATGTCTAGGTGGGTCCTACAACACCCAAAACATGATGGGAAGATCAAGCTACATGATCACCGACTATCCATTCCATTGTTAGGCCTTCAGTCTCCATCAAGGTGCAAAAGGAGACTAGCTATCTTCAGAAGAAGGCACAGATTTGCTCCAAAACCCTAGGCGTCTGCCCTGTGGTTCTCCTCCAGGTGCTTGACAGAGGCTCCATACAGTGTTCTTGTATGCCAGAACACTTTTAGTTTCATTGGCTCCACTGGATCATAGGACCTAAATGGCAGAGCAGCGTGTACTGTAACTCAAATTCATAACAGAGCCTTCTCTTGCTCTGGTCCCCACTCAAAAATTGTAATCTTATGGGTGACTCTCTAGGTGAGTTGAATTAGCACACTTAAATATGGTATATGTTGCCTTCAAAATCCAAAAAGCCTACTGAGCATTGTGCCTCTTTTTCATGGTAACATAGTGTGAGATGAACCAACACGCCTTTCATCTTGGGGGTTCATCATGCTCCAGACCACTGGACCCTCAGAAACTTCATTGCAGTTAAGGGCCCTCAATTTTTGTGGAATTTATCTTTCAGCCTCTAGTTCTTATATGTCTTACTAAGGCACCTAAGTACTTACTACTTCCTGCTCATCATATCCAATCAGCATAATGTTATCAATGTAATGGACCAATGTGATGTTTGTAGAATATCATGGTGATGAAGATCTCTATGGACTATATCATGGCAGAGAGCAGGAGAACTGACAAAACCTTGAGGCAAGACTTTGAAGGTATACTGTGGCCCTGCCAAGTAAAAGCAAACTGTTCTCATGCAATTTGATGTGGAGCAAAAGGTATTATAACTGCATAACAAGTGCCAGGGGCATAGTCATTTGCCCCAGCAAAGATACTACATCTAAGACAACAGCTGCAACTGGAATATCCCCCTGATTTTGGTGTGGACCTGATAGTCCCTACTTATTTTCCAAGCTCCATCTGTTTTTTGCACAGGCCAAGTGGTGAGTTAAGTGGTCATGTGATAGGTTGTCACCACGCTTGCTTCTTTCAAGTCTTTCTTTGACGCTGGCATTAATCTCTGCAATTTCCCCTGAAGATGCAATATTGCTTCTAGTTTATTTTCTTGATAGAAAGGGGAAGTTCCAGGGACTTCCAGTTATCGCTTCCTACAATAATGAGCCTTCAACTCATGGGTCAGAGAACCAATATAGGAATCCTTTCAGTTGCTAATTATGTCTTTTCCAATTATACATTCAGGAAGTAGGGAAATAACCACACAGTGGGTCATAATGGACCAACTGGGTCCACTGTAATTCGGACCTGAGCTAAGACTCCTTCTATCATCTCACCGTAAGCCTTCATTTTGACTGGTGAGCCACAGTGGTGTTTTGGATCCTCAGGAATTAGAATTAATTTAGAGGTAGTGCCTAGTATTCACCAAATGATATGGATATTTCTTTTTCTCTCATGAACAGTCACTCTGGCAAATGATTACAGATCTGTTAGGAAAATGTTTGGAGGAAGATTTATGGTATGTACCCGCAGCAGTGGTTGTAGGGTCCTTCCTCAAGGGGTTCTAGCCTTCCCTGCGGTTAAGGGGCCCTGGTCTGTGAATTGACTTCGGTCTGGAATCTGGGTGAGAGAGGCTGTGACTCTCCACTGTACTGATTCAAGTCAGGTTTTGGTTGCCAAAGTTTTTTCTGTTATATGAATCAAGCAATATTCTATTTGGCTGCCCATATGATTTCATTCATGGGGACATGTTGACCACCAAAGATCTCTGCATGCCAAGGCATTCTGACTCCTGATATGTCCTTCCTAATAGATGTACCCACCTTGTCTTTGGCAGTTGGCTTCTGCTACTCTGGGATTGCATCATCACCACTGAAATGAGACAGCCCATCTCAACAGCAGTGAGAAATGATGAGATTGTTATTATAATTTAGCTTCTGTATAGTTAAAATTTGTACCTGATTTTTAGCAGTATTATCCTTCTGACTACAAGAAATAGATTTTTTTTAAAGGCTACCGTGGAAGCTCTCTGGTTCTCAGACCATGATTTGAGCTAAGAATTAAAGGACCTGTGCTTGTCATTTTCCCTGTAAGTGCTGAAGAGCATTAAAAAAAACTCCATCCCACACCACAGTCTTTATGCTTATCACTACTGCCATGAGAGTCTGTGTAGTAGCAAATTAGGCTCCCAAGGCACATGCTTCAGCAGGTACTTCATCACAATCTACCACCGGTGATAGCTTGGTTAATTGTCATGCTGCTACCTGCAGAGAATTTCTAGCACTCCATTTCCTGTTGGCAAGGAGCTCAGCACTGTGTTCAAGCCCAAGGGTGCAACCAAACCCCCAAATCCCACCTTTGTGGGTCTGTCCCCTAGGACCACTCCACTACCGGTATCAGTTCTATAACAGTAATGGGCCAATTAGGAGACAGAAACCACATGGTAATCAAACAGGCAAAGCTTAATACAAAGAATTATTAACTATAACAAGGGATTGAAGTATGGGAGGACTGGCTGGTAAGCAATAAAGAGGGCTCTCAAGAATACAGGGATAGCAGACATAGGGAGCAGCCACTGCCCTCCAGGGCTGACATCCAGACCTCATTGGAGACAGTGTGACCAAGGCTTACTGGGCAGCAGAGAAGTTCACTGGGGCTGTGAAGCACTCAAAGAGGTGCTGGAGGAGAAGCCCTTCACAGGAGGTCCCATGCTAGTGACACTCCACCGTGAAGCTGCATGCACCACCGGAACAGGTGTTGCAGAAGCTGCATGCACTACAGAAACCTGACGCTGCACAGCCATGCACACTGCAGGATCCTGCCTAGAGGAGCACCCCGAACCAGGAAGGGAGACCCTCCTTCCTCCTCCAGGGTCCCTCCAGCACCTTCTACTGACAAAGCTTAACATCTTGCCAAGTGGCAAAGAAGAAATATTTACAGGGTCCAGATTCATTATTTCACAGCAGACAATTAAGGATGAATTTGGAGCTGAGAGGTCATAAATTGATAACTGGTAACCATACTTTGTCATGTTGAATTTTTAGTTTTGATATCAAAGCCGTCAACTTCCTCTTGGCTTTTGTGTTTTATGCTCTATTTCAGAAATAAGTTTGTGTGTATGTCTGTGTGCGTGTGCATGTGCATGTGTGTGTGCATTTAGATATTTAATCTCTTTGGAATTCATTGTGTATAGTCTAAGGTGATGATTTAATCTACTTCAAATAGAATCAACCTCCTTAATTTGACAAGCTATATATATCATATATAAATTTATGTATGTAAATATGTTTCTCTGGTCTATTCTGTTCCATTCATCTATTTATTTATTCCTTTACACAAGATAGATTTTCTTGTCTGAACAAAAAGACTTGGATTAGGACTTTACATAAGTCTGAAGAGGGTTTGGGCATTTGTAAGAAGAATAAAAAGATTGTTAAGAAAGGACGATGTTCTTAAGTGAAACAAATAGAAATAAGTGCTTTGAAGTATACTTGGATTAATCTCTGTTCTGTTTTTTCACTTGTTAGTAAATACTGCTTAGCAGCAATATGTTCTCTCCTGGAATACCACAGAGGCTGCTGGTTGATGAGGGGCAAGGCCTAGGTTGTAGAAATGCAAGTCAGCTCTTAGGTGTTAAAATCTAGGGCCAACCCCTACTTCGTCTGGTCCATCCAAGATGTAATCATCTCAGTCCCTCCACACTATCCCCATAGTACTGATAATAAAAATTAGATAAAAGGTTTAATGGAGTTTAGAATCATTTTTATTCATTCAAATGCTCCTGGAAATAAAACTTGGAAAAAGGAAACATGATTACCAATCAGGTCTGAAGGGGATTCTGGATGGAGCCGTTTGAACTCAAAAAGCTGAAAGTTGAACATTTTCTGCCACATTGGGTAGGAAGACATGGTGAATCCTTTCTTTGTGTTTAATAGGTACCTGAAATATAAATATTAAGTAGATATTGGAGCTTTTCAAGAAGATTATTTCAAGAATAATTCTTGTTATGGCATCATTCAAAGTCACTGTTACTAATGAGACCAAGATCATTGGTTCAGTCTGGGTTAGGCCACTTAGGGTGCCTTCTTATACATATTTTGCCACTTGTCGTAAAGGGAACTGGTCAACAATGAATCCATCAATGGAAAGCCATTTCCAGCTAAGGAAGAAAAGATAGCCCACATTTGGACTAATCTGAAAATTCCTTAATATTTTATCTTTTGTGTTAGTGCAGTGCTACTTTTTTAAGAAAATCATTGGTGTTCTTATATTCCAGCCATGTATAAATTCCTCTTCAATCTGTATTTATCTGACTTGTCTCATAGGCCATGCTTAAGAAGTCAGACCTTAGATAGATTTGAAGAGGCTCCAACTAATTTTGTGCCTTTCCTAGACCTCAGCTTTCTGCTTGGGGTCTCTATACTGTAAACAAGCAAATGGGCCCACAATACACTTCTTTATTTATTAGGATTTATTTATTTAGTAGGGCAATGGCCAATAATTAGCCTTAAACTCTCACCCTTCTAAATCTCTCAAATATAATGTATCTCTACTAAAGCATTTAGCTACTTAGTAGCCTTCTCAACCATAAGAGTTGCGATTGCCAACCTCCCCCACAGTAGGAATATTAACTTTTGGGAGTGAAACGGGGATGGAGTGAATCTCAAAAGCCCTTGTAATTCCATCACATCAACTGAGCATTGCTTCCTTTTGGAAAAGGCTTTTGCAGAAACAAATAGATATGTACTAGAATTTCACCTTTTGGTGACAGATAACTGCACAGAGACTGGTGAGTCAAGCAAATGGTGGGCATTAATAACATGGCTCTACTTGGTCAGGGATCTCAACTGGGTATGTCCCTGACTTATTTCTTCTCTGTATATTGCGCCTTAACTGCATGTTTAGAAATACTTCAGCAAACTTTTGATCCAATAACTAGACCATCAGCTGCAGAATTATACCTTCAAAAGAAGACTTAGAATGGCATATTCTCTGACAGATTGATTAAATTTTTTCCTCTTAAGTATTCTTAAGGGGAGGAATTCTTAAATATGTTGATTAGATATGTAAATATCTAGAGGAGATTCTGAAAGACAGTGGAGCAGAGAGCGTAATACTTATTAACTTAATACAGAAAAGGCAGGGGAAGAGGACGTAAATGTTGTTTTAGATAAACTAAAAGCTGAAATATTTTTTAAAAATTCTTCAAATATGTACTATACCTCAACCTAATCTCTATTCCAAGGATTTCTTTGGAGGGTAGATTTCTCACATATTTTAAAATGACTTCTGAAATTCTTTGTTTCTGCTCTGCCTGCAAACTTAAAGGATCTGATGCTGTGAGTTAATTGTTGTAGATAATTGGAAAAAAAAAAAGACAAAGTTTAGACAGAACACAGAAAGGTGTTGGTACTGACTTCCACACCCATTTATTGAATTGTAATTGAGTAAGTGCTTTTAGGCTTAACTGTTTCAAATTAAGATTAATTTATTATTCAAATTAATCAGAATTTTATTATTGAGGAGTGATGTTAGCAAGATGGCCGAGTAGGAGGCCCTGGACCCTCCTTCCCAGCACAAACACAGTGATTCAGCAACAATTCATGTATAAATTCCCTTTGTGAGAAATCCAGAATTTTATTATCCAGACAAGACCCAAGCACCTAGATAAGATCCTTATATATTATTTTTTAATGTAAGTTTGAAGTGACCCTAAAACCATAATTTCATATTTTTCATTGTTCATATATATAATCAAATTTATTATTACTTACAGTCTTTGGCCTTTGAATCCTTCTTGTTATTTTACTGCCCATAAGATTAGTCTTTAAAAGGTGTTGCTGGGAGTATCTGGATGATGTGGAAGCAGAATTTAGGGAGTACTGAGCCCAGGATATAAGGCCTACAATGTTAAAAATGTTAAATTATATCTCTGGTTGCAACGTACAGGCCTAGATTTAATTAATTAAATTTTAGAGCTTAAAATGGGCATCTAATCTAGCTTCACCAATTTTGAGTGAAGCTGTCAATACCTGGATGGAGTCTTTCGCCTGAGAGTCACATGACCAAGTCAAAGAGAAAGAAATGATGAGTGACTCGGACTGTTGTGGGTAGAATTGGACAGACTGAGAGATATTCAAATTAATAGGACATGGTAGTTAACTGGATTTGCAGGGTGAGAAGGAATAGCTCCCAGATTTCTGGCTCAAGCAACTAAATAGGTGTTAATTTTATTTTATGGTGGATTTTATGATCACGGCACATATATGCTCCATAAGCAACTGTTGGCTACAAGATTAGAAGGATAGATGGGTGGAAAACACAAGTGTGTAGAGAGGAAGCAGAAAAAGATTAGTTCAAGGCCCCTGCGAAGGTAGGAGCACATGGGATCCTGTGCACAGTACTGTCCCTAGGAGGAAAAGGAGCACCTTTTCCATGTTAACAAGAAGGGAGGAGAAGCAGCTGAGTAGAGATGGAGGTAGGCTGGGGACAAGAAGTAGAGGGAGTTTCCATCTGATGGCTTTTAACTTCTCTGTGAAACGGGAGGTGAAGTGTTGGCAGGGAGGAGGACAGGGTCTGAAGGTCTGAAGAGACCAGGAAGATTTAAAATAGTTGCTGCGAAGAGGAGGGGAGAGTGAGGTGACCCCATCCTCAGCGCCTGGCGAGGAAATGTGAGCTGGCCTGAGCCCATCAGGCGTCTTAGTGTCTGGCTCCAGTGATTTGTTCAAACTTAGGCACATGTCAGCCCAGTCAAAGCCGGATTCTTTTTCACTGTCCCATCTCCACACTCCACTCCTGCCACGCGAACTTGAACAGAGGATGGAAACCACAGAGGAGGCAGCCATCTTGCTTCCCAAGGGGCTCCACTTCCTTTCTGCTTCCAGCATTCCCAGAGCCCAGAGACGGAGAGAGAGAAATCAGTCCTCATGAAATGCTTCAAACTTTGATCAAGCTAACCATAGCCAGTCCGCCCCTGAATATGTCACAGTTTTGGGAGCTAATTGATTTCATTTTTTCCTTAAGCACTTTGAGAATAACTGCACTTGAACAAATTATAGTTTCTCAGGAGTTGCAAGATCCTAGGGGAATCCATATTAATGCCAAGTAAAGAGAGCTCGCCCTTGAACTCTGACTCCGCCTTTGATGCTACTGATGCCGGAGCAGGGAGGCTGCTGCCATCGCTGCTACAGATCTGCGTCACCTCACGTTCGAGCTGGACAGCAGCTGAGAAAGCAGTGGGAATGGCTGACTTTCACCTTTTAGCACTAATCGGATAGGTGCTATCTGGCTGTTCCCTTGGAGTTCTCGGCACTAAACAGACTAAATAGTAAATTGTTTAAAAAATTCTTATAAAGGTTTTTCTAAAAATGTTTTTGCAAAATGCATTCAGCACAGTGTAATTTCAGGGAATTATAGTGATACCCATTCTGTACTGCATATAGGGAAGTTATTAATAACATATTAAATAAAGATTTTCCATCAGGCTACTTCCAAGATGCTGTCAGTCCCTCCCCTCTAATGAATCTACACATAGAAGTCCTCAGCAAACCCCCTCCTGTCATCGCGGAGGGGGACAGATGGGGGCTGAGGCCTGGGAATGACTTCTGCCTCTGCTTCCTGAGAAAGTGGCTTCTCTTTCACTCCTGCCACAGCCCCAATCCTGGGAATTAGGGTTCCTCCACCTGCCTCATGCCCCACCCTGGCTCTCCTCTGTAAACACTCTCAGGTGTTGGAGGACATGGGTGGCAGCTCCATTGGACATGTTAATCCAGAAATGGATTAAAAAGATGCTTGCCTGGGCTGGAGGCAGAGCTGAAAGGGAGAGACAGAGAAACCCCAGGGAGTGTGGAAAGGACAGTGCAAAGTGTAGAACAGCTCAGGGTCAGTGGCCAAAACAGGGCCCTTAGGTGCTCTTGGTGGACTTCCACTTTGGACAGGGCAGCTGGGGCGGGGATGCGGTCCTGCTGTTAGGGCCCAGGCGGGGGGCACAGAGGAGGGCAAGCCCAGCCCTGCTCTTTGTAAACCCAAAGTAACTCGATCTTCGTCTGCTTGATCTTTGAAACTGATCTTTCTGCTTCTGAAAGGCTGTGTTTTCTCCCATCACTCACACTGGTAAGTAGCCAAAAGGAGACATAGATAAAGTACAACACACATACACATGTATATGTGTATATGTGTAGTAACCAACATTTGCACAGTAACTTAGTGCTACTATACTATGTGCCAGGCATGCATTATCTCATTTAATCCTCAGAACATGTCTTTGAGGTGGGGATTTCCATTTTATGGAGAGACTAGTTAACCTGTCTAAGGTCACATAGTTACCAGTGACAGAGCAGGATTTGAACCTGGGCTGCCTTACACACTCAACCATGGGCTACACTGCAGAACAGGAAAGAAGAGGCTTGGCTGATCTGAACAATATGCCAATCATGGTTATTGATATTTGGTGATATTTTTGATAGTCAGATCTAGAAGATAACTTGGAATTTATTTAGCCTCGTCTTATAAGGGAGGAGGCTAATTTAGAGATGTCCTGGGATCTGGGCTCTGCTCCATGCTGCTTGCCATGCACTGCCCAGAGGGCTGTTTTGATTGCCATTTGCATAGGAACCCTCAAGCCCCCAGGACCAAGAATCATAATGTACTTTATGAATAACATCAGAGAAATGTGGTCATTAATGTCGCAAGGCATTAAGATGCTTTAAAATCCAGTGACGTACCCAATATTCTTTAAGTGGTATATTACACACTCCTGGGACCAGTTTTTATTATTGACACCTTATAGAACAGGATGTCAGTACTCCAAAGGGAATTAAAGTAGAAAGTTCTGACTGCAAATCAGAATTAAAGTTTACTCACTCAAGTATCATTCATTCATTCAACAAACATCATGGAGTACCCACTCAATAACCCCTGGCTTGTTATCACTAGTCCCTGAGATTGTCCTTCAATTCAGACCCCAGACACTAGGAGCTTGCTCCAGCCAGAGCAGGGGCTATCCTTACCACCTGGGGAGCTCCTCTGGACAGACGATTGCTCAGCGTCATTAAGCTGACTTTGTAGCTCTTCTACACGCTGGAAAGCGTCCATTTTCACGCTGCGCTCCTGGGCAAGCCGGCGTCTCATCTGAGGAGAAAAGTGCTTGGGAAGCAGAGATGCTTTTTGGCGCATACATTAGTCCCGAGGTTCCTAGGGACAGTGTAGGTCCCAGGCTACCCCAGGAATACAAGTCTTCATGAAGTCCTGGTCAGGCTGAACTCAGCCTTCTGAGAACCAAGAGCTCCAGAAAGGCTGAGAACTTAACCAAAGAGGAACAGAAGCAGCTCATGGAACCCCTTATTACCTTATAACAGCCAAGAGTTTACTTACAAAAGTTATATCTCTTATGTTTATTTCACCAGTGGGGGTGGGGGGAGGGGAGTGGGGAGGGCCCAGGTCACAGAGGACCTTGTAGACCAAGCCACACATCTGCCCCAAGGACCCATGGGAGCCTCTGGTCGGTGTCAAGCAGAGGAAAGATCTCTTTCCCTTTCCAGTCTATGTTCAGCTCAGCTCATCGTCTGTGGGGAAGGCCCTGAGCACTGTCTCCCAGGCCTGCCCAGGGTCCCCACCCAGAGGCAAACTTTGTGTTTATTCCCATAGTTCTGCCCTCACACAACTGACCCAGAGTCCTCGGCCAGACAGTAGCTGGGTCCAAAGTATACCTCATCTGCATAGACCACAGGTATTTTTTCTTTTTAAATTTATTTTTATCTCCTAATTGTTTTTAATTATAAAAAGTAATTGTAGTGTAGTGGGTTCAATAGTGTCCCCCCAAAATTCATGCCCACCTGGAACCTCAAAATGTGACCATATTTGGAAATAGAGTCTTTACAGATGTGATTAAGATGAAGTCATACTGGATAAAAGGTGGGCCCTAAATCCAATGACTGATGTCCTTATAAGAAGAGGAAAGGGGACAGACACACAGAGGGACACACAGGGAAGGCTGTGTGATGAGGGAGGGAGAGATGGGAGTGACGTAGCTATAAGCTGAGGAATGCCAAGGACTACAGACAGCCAACAGAAATGAGGAGAGAGGCATGGAGCAGATGCTTCCTCAGAGCCTCCTGAAGGAACCAACACCTTGATGTCAGACATCTGGCCTCCTGAACTGTGGAAGAATCAATTTCTGGTGTTTTAAAACCATCTAGTTTGTGGTAATTTGTTACAGCAGCCCTAGGAAACTCATACACAAAAATTAGTGTAATCTCGCATGCTAATCGCAAAAATTCAGCCACAGGTGTTTTAAATCCTACTAGTGTCTGTAGAGACCCAACCACAGGCTTGTCTCACAAACCTTACGGGGGAGGTTCCTTGTGTGTGCAGATGCTCTCAAGTGTAGTTTAACTTGCAGTAGATGATCAGATCCCCAGAGTTAGGAAAAAATTCCTAATATAAACTAGGCCCAAGGTCCCTCTCTGTACTACAAGAATTTGTGTAGGATCCTCATTCTTCATGGGCGAGAGCCAGGGGAAAACATATCAAGACTCCTTGAGCCAGGCATTGCTAACCAACTTGAAAAATACTAGCAAAGGAAAGAAACATACTTAATAAGGACCTTGTGTTAGCACACCCTACTCCTACTTCACAGAGGTCTATCTACCTGTTTCCAAAGTTGTCCACCTTCATATTCCCAACAGAAAGACAAACAGCCAATATTTATCAAGAGCTGTGTATCAGTCCCTGTTCTATGTGCTTTATTTGAATTACCTAATTTAATCCTCCCCCAAATCCCATGAAGTCAGTACATTATTCTCCATGAACTGATGAGGAAAGTAAAGCACAGAGAGGCCACAGACCTCGCCCAAAGTCATACAGCAGGAGGGCCTGGGGATGTGAATCAGGCAGTCTGAGTCTAGGGCCTATGCTCTAAGTGACCGTCCCAGGAGCAGGAGGTAGGCAAGGAAGTTCATGATCTCCAAGGTCAGAGGGTCAAAAGCCACCGCTGGAGTTGGAGGTTGGAGACAGATTAAAGCCACTGCTGGCTGTGGGGGCTCTTGCTGTCTGAGTGGATTGCTATTTGGGGTGGCTAAGCTCAGGGGCACAAGAGCTTCCAGGGGAGTTGAAGGGGTTGTTTAGAATGAGCCAATGACTGTTTTTACATACAAATACTAAAAATGTGTATTTGTTGAGAGAAACTTCGAAATATTTTGACTACTTTTAGAATCTCTGCCATTAAACAAATATTAGCTATTAATTAGAGAGGACTTCGAGAAACTACTCTATGAACCTCCCTATTTTTGTGGTGGCTTTTAGAAAAGCATAATTTGAAGGACAAATACGTGACACCAAATTTTTCTTATGGGTTCAGTCATATTTTAGATTACTTTTCATGAAACAAATGTGAAATTTTAATTTTCTTTTATTCTAAAGCTACTCATGTTCTCTCCATCTCTACAAAAATATTTACTCTAGCATTGCCTCAATTCCACTTGTATCCTTTTTTTTTCCATTTATTTTTGTATTCTCTTTGCTGATCTCCTCCTTGAGCACTTGAAACACTTGGCCAATAATTAAATTTAACTTTCCAACTCTTGTTTCCTAATATCTCTGGTGAATTAATTAAGTGATTTATTCATTCAATGAATATGTGTGAAGAGCCTGTGCTGGAAGGTGCTGTTTTCCCTTTGTATTCAATTACATTCTGTGGTCTCCTTTGTTGGAATTTGCATTAATCCACATCTACATTGTATTATTTCCTCCTCTTTTTTTTTTTTTTCTGTGGGGTATATTTAACAAAAACATATTTTGTCTGAAAACTACCTTTGCCTTTCCTTTTTGTCTCTGCAGTTCCAGAAACACTATAAATAAAATCCCCTTACAATAGCTTCCATGATACTTGCTGCTTTTCCAGATTACTTAACAGAATTTTCTAAAGGATCCCTAGTTCCAAGATTAGAGCTAGGTAGAAATACATTTTTCGAGTGGGTTCTAAGGGTGCCAAGATTCTGGGCCTTGAGGTGGTCAAGCCATCATCTCTCACCATAAGCAGCCTGAGCAATTGCCCAGCGTGGGTATAAATATTTCCATTTTCCTGGTGTGCCTAGAAGTGACAAAGGTGGAGAAACACTGCTGTGGAGGACACGAGAGGCCTGGAAAAGACGGGAAGAATGAACCGGCTCTGGCTGGTGCACCCTGATTCGCTTTCCAGGAGCCGCTACCTCTCCCTGGAGTTACCTGTTGGAGTTCCCTCCGAGTTTTCCTCTGCTGGAGCTGGCCCAGTTTGGAAGCCCTCTCTGCCTCCTCAGTGAGGAGCTGCAGGTGCTGTTCTTTGTGTTCCACGTCTTCCAAGAGCTTCTCTATGCTGGAGGTTTTTATGAAATCCAGCTGCTGCCGGTGGCAAGCTTCCTGCGTCACTCTGTGTTCTAACTCTTCCAGCAATTGAGCCTGTGGCAGGGAAAGGCCAAGGAAATGAGAAAGGCGCGGAGTCTTTCTTCTCAGCAGAAGGCGGGGAACGAGCGTTTGGCCAACACAACTGTCCCCTCCTTGGGGGCCCAGCGACAGACCTGTGTGGTATTCCTGGGCTCAGGGTAATACAGCCCAGCTGTTCTGTCCCGTGCTAGCCAGCAGCAAGACCACCAGGATCTAGCCCAGCCTGGCATTTACAGCTCCGAGGAAAAAACAACAAACACACACCAAGAAAAGCCAGGCGAATGATAATGCCACTATACAGCAGTATCAGGTCAAATAATTTGGTTTTTTAATCCCAAAATTTGATGATAATGTGTATGTTAATTGGCTTATTAACCAAATAATCATATCCATCACAAACTATATTTGCGTTATCATTGAGCCTTTATCATGAGATGGCAGTAGAAGGGTTAACCTGGAGACACCTGATGATGTAATATGTGTGGGGGATGAGTGGGGATGAATGGGGGAGGGAGGGTCTAATCTTGCCTCTGTTTTGACTTCTAAAATAGCTTTGGGGAAGCTAGATTCCAGACGGCTAAAGAAGGAAAAGGGTAGTAACAATTTGGTTCTGTTCTGAAATTTTTCTTTTTTTTTTTTTGTGAGGAAGATCAGCCCTGAGCTAACATCCGTGCTAATCCTCCTCTTTTTGCTGAGGAAGACCAGCCCTGAGCTAACATCTATTGCCAATCCTCCTCCTTTTTTTTTTCCCCCAAAGCCCCAGTAGATAGTTGTATGTCATAGTTGCACAGCCTTCTAGTTGCTGTATGTGGGACGCGGCCTCAGCATGGCCAGAGAAGCAGTGCGTCGGTCGGTGCGCGCCCCGGATCCGAACCCGGGCCGCCAGTAGTGGAGCGCGCGCGCTCTTAACCACTTAAGCCACGGAGCCGGCCCCTGAAATTTTTCTAATCAGTAGCACCATAAGTACTAGATGGTCAATCCTTATTTATAATATTAATAATGATGATTAATATTTGTATGATGACTTTACAGTTTACATAATTATATATCATAATTCACCTGGTACACAATAATGGAGGAATTAGGTCCAAATAAACAAATTATATTTCATGTTTTAAATATACCTAGCTTTCCCAGGCTGTTATTTAAACTCAGCTGTTCTCGCTCTAAACCTAGGGTCTCTCTGCTTCATTCATGCTCAGAGGGTGGCACAGTTATTAAGAGCTTAGACTTGAAACACCTTTATTTTGGTGCCAGCCCCTATTAAGCGGCAGTAACTTTTGAAAGTAAGACTTAGTATGGATCATCGGGAAAGGACCCAAGACTCTGCTGGGGGAATAATGCTGACGCCTGGGTTGCACTCCACGGGCAGAGGGTTGCTGTTGATGGAAAGCATGCTTGGAGCATGAAAGGATTGTGTTAAAGGCAGAGACTCAGACCCCAGGATGCTCTCTGGGCAAAAAGATCCTCAGAGAAACACACACACATACACACACACACAGAAGAACGATCTTATGTATGAGTAATATTTCACCATCTTAGCCAAATATGAATAAGAACAGAAGACTTTTGGCCACTGCCCTTGGTTTCTGGGCTGGAAAGGAGGGAGAAGAAAGGAAGCTGAGGTCCAGGCCGTCTTTCTCTGGCAGCGCTGGCTGCTCGGCCTCACGCTGCGGAGCTCTGGTGACTGCTAGAGGCAGCACGGTGCCACTTGTAGTTGCCACATCCAGCTTTGTAGAGCGTGTTCAAAGAGAGGGCAGAAGAGAGGTGGTGGGGCTCAGATACCTGGTTATCCTGCTGCCTGCACATCCTCACGTTGTCAGCCTGAGCCCTGGCCAGGGCCTGCCTTAGAGCCAGTAACTCTTTTTTTTTTTTTTTAAAGATTTTATTTATTCAGTTTTTTCCCCCCAAAGCCCCAGTAGATAGTTGTACGTCATAGGTTCACATCCTTCTAGTTGCTGTACGTGGGACTCGGCCT